CTCATTTGTTGAAATGAAAAAAAAATCTATCTATAACATAAAAAAAAAGTACTATTAATAATATTTTTATTTAGGGTGGAGGTGTGGGTGTGGGTGTGGTGTGGGTGTGTTGGGGGTGGGTTGGTTGGGGATGGGAAATAGGTGGGGAAGGTTGAAAAAGAGTTTTTGAAAATATTTTCCCTTATCTAGATAGGGAAAATATTTTCATCCAATTAGAGGAAAATGAGATCATAAGGAAGATGTTTTCCAAAACATTTAAGCCAATTCCAAACATGGCAAAATTGATAAATGCATGGAGAAATATGTATCTAACTCTTTATATAATTAAAAAATTATTTTGTTACTTACAAGAGAAAAAGAACATATCCATTAGAATCATAAAGTCCATAATTGGTAAAAAGAAGAATATGATTTTACTAGGTCACATGTACTCTTCTATCTCATCATGCACAAAATAAAAAGAAAATTGAATGATAGAGGTTTATAGAAAAAGTATTATTTTATCTAATAACTTCATTCCACATGATATTTGAAAGGTATGATGATCACATCATATTCCTTTAAAAGGGGTAGGAAAACAGCATAATCACGAATCATATTAGAGAAGGTTAAGAGGTTTATACTTTACTAAATAAATGATATTCTGGAAAAAAGGAAAAATGATGTTGAATCAATATTCTTCCCAATGAGGAAATGATCTATTGAAGCACAGCCAAGTAGAAATTTTCTTTGATATTAGTGGACTCTGTGTAAAATATTAGGGACGTTAAGAATGCGATTCCACTTCTCTTGGTTCAAGTATATATGCAAAGTTTGAGTTGATAGCTTTTTTTTTTTCCCCTTTTCAATTAACTAAAAAACAAATCTCGTTTTTTCTTATAGCTTAAATGATTCTGATCACTTTAGACTAATTAATGTGGATCATGGAGAACCATAAACTTGAACTAAGAAAATATTATCTTAATAGGAAATGCTTATCATTAGCTTATGATTAGATTCCTAGCTAATTCGCACTTAAAAGTAGATAATTTAATTTTAATTCATAAACCTTAGGATTTAATCAAGTGTAGTGCAAAAGTGAAGAGTTCTAACTAAAAGTAGCGTAGAGTACGATGTTGGAGTATTCAGTTTATCCTAATTTGAACAATTGAAATGTAATAGGTTCATTACTTCATTTCCTTGAATGAAATATATGATGTTATGTGTATTAGAATTTAGTTAAAATAAGACGAACAAACATACTAGTAGTATAGATCTTAGGTTAGACAAATAGATTTAGGGAACTGATTTTACGCTCCATTTTCTTGTATATGACGGTAAGTCACCACATATTCTACTATTTATAATGGCGGTTCACATAATATTGTGAATTTAATTTTATTTGGTGTAAAAACTTAAATCGGTAATTATCCTATATTATTTGTCAATGAATTTATTATAAGTTTAATTTTTTAAAATGGTCAATACTACTAGCGAAAAAATAAATGTAGAGTTCAATTCTAACTCAATTCAATTTCGATTGGAGCACCGTAGAAGGAATAAATGTGGGTTTCAGTGGCTAAGTTAAAATATTGTAATTAGGTGAAGTTAGTTGAAAGAGTAGGTTAGTTAATTAGTTGTATAAATAGAAGTTGGTTAACAGATGTACAATAGCTTTTCTGGAGTTAGTTGAAAGCATTTTTGTCTAATACAGATAACAAAGCTTCTCCTTCTTCTCACGGACTTTCTTCCTCTTCTGCCATGGCTGACTTGCTTAATATGGTAGAGCTACAAGGCTAGATCAATTAACTCAGCAGCTTCAGGAGAGAATATCACCGGTTAATCGTTTTCTTCACTCTGTTCTGTTATCATTTTGAGCAAATTCCCTAAAATTAGGGCTTGTAAGATTAGCGTCAATTTCTGGCGTAATTGAGTGAGTCATGACCTAGACTGCCTCAATCTGTGTGGTGCGATACAATCTATACTGTTTACAATGGTAAATGACGACGGGGTCTCTACTTCTTCAGCTCTTCCTATGGCGACTGCAACTCAGACTCAAACGATGTATGCTCCAGATCGGGTACATCACAATCATCCTCTGTACATTCATCCTTCAGAGACACAAGGTTCTGTTATGATCTCAACTCAACTTCAAGGTTCTGAAAAATACTCAATGTGGAGTAGGTCAATGAAGATTGTGTTGCATGGTAAAAATAAACTAGGTTTTGTTTTAGGAACTTGTAAACGAGAATTGTATGATCCTAGCTTGCATGAACTCTGGGACAGATGTAATGCCATTGTTCTAGCTTGGATAATGAACACAGTATCTCAAAGTCTAATGAGTATTGTGATTTATGCGTTTGATGCACATAAGGTGCGGGAAGACCTTAAAGAGAGGTTTGATAAAGTAAATGCCTCTAGAGCATGTTATCTGCACAAGAAAATTGCTGCATTAACTCAGGGCATATCACATGAGCACTGGTCTTTCTCCTATGTTCCCTGTGCTGCAACTAGTTGAACCTGGTCCTCCTGCTGTGTCTGCTCTATTGCACTCATCTTCAACCTCTACTTCTGATCCTGATGCTTCTCAGCTTTCCCCATCATCTACTATCACGGATCCTTCTCCTCTGCCAGTACAACTTAGAAGATCCTCAAGAGAATCTAGACCACCTGTATGGATGGGAGATTATGTTGTTCAACAGAAGTCCTCATGTCCATATCCACTATCCAACTATGTGGTGTATGACCACCTCAATCCTGCCTACAGGTCTTCATTAGCTGTTTATTCAGCAATTGCAGAACCTAAGACCTATGCTGAAGCCAGTATTAATCCACTATGGGTGGATGCTATGAAGTCTGAGATTTCAGCTCCTGAGAGCAACAATACTTGGACAACTGTAGACCTTCCTCCAGACAAATTTCCCATAGACTGCAAGTGGGTGTTTAAGGTTAAGTACAAGTCCACAGGAGATGTGGAGAGATATAAAGCAAGGCTGGTTGTCAAAGGCTACAGCCAATAGGAAGGTTTGAACTACACTTAAACCTTCTCACCAGTAGCTAAGATGGTCACAGTGAGGTCTATAGTGGCTCTTGCTGCTGCTTCAAATTAGTTTGTGTTTCAAATGGATGTCCATAATGCATTTCTACGGGGTGATCTGTCTGAAGAAGTTTATATGCAAATTCCTGATGGCTTTTCAAGCCAGGGGGAGTATAAAAATGTGTGCAAGTTGAATAAGTCCTTGTATGAACTCAAACAAGCTCCTAGACAGTGGAACCAAAATTGACAGAAGCATTGACAGATCTAGGATTTGTGCAGTCACACTATGACTACTCTTTGTTCACATAGAAGGGAGCAAATTTGGTGATTGTGCTTGTCTATGTAGATGATTTACTAGTGAGTGGCAATAATCTAAACCTGATTGAGAAGGCCAGAAAGGACCAGCAGAGTAGGTTAAGATGAAAGACTTAGGGGAACTGAAGTACTTCCTTGGCATAGAGTTTTCAAGGTCAGAGAAAGGCATCCATATATGTCAGAGGAAGTATGCAATTGAGCTGCTATCTGAGACTGGTTTATCAGGAGGAAAACCAGCACTCACTCCACTAGAATTCAATCACAAACTTACCTCCATAGAATTTGACAAGGTGTTCAACAAGGAGAACTTGTCTGATGACAGGCTACTTGAAGACAGAAGTGGTTATCAAAGAGTAGTGGGAAGATTGTTGTATTTGACCATGACTAGACCTGACTTTGTGGAACAGGTTCTAAGTCAGTTCATGCATGCTCCCAAGCAATCACATCTAGATGCTGCTATGAGAGTGATCAGGTACATTAAAGGGAATCCTGGTCTTGGACTGTTCCTACCATCATATGGCAATCAAAAGTTGGTTGCATTTTGTGATTCAGATTGGGGTGATTGTGTAGAGACAAGAAAGTCAGTCACAGGCTATGCTATGAAGTTTGGTGATGCCTTAATCTCCTGGAAATCAAAGAAGCAAGGAACAGTTTCAAGAAGCTCAGCTGAGGCAGAGTTCAGAAGCATGGCCACTACTGTTGCAGAGATAAAATGGTTAGTTGGACTATTTGAGGAGTTAGGAGTATCAGTTGAGTTTCCAGTTCAACTTCACTGTGATACCCAGGTTGACATCAAATTGCAGCTCATCTTATTTTTCACGAAAGAACCATACACATAGACATCGATTGTCACTTTGTAAGGGAGAAGATTCAAGAAGGAATGATCCAAACTCAACATATTGGTACAAGAGAAACTGGAAGATATCTTCACCAAGAGTCTATGTAGCCCACAACATGATTACTTACTGTGCACGCTGGGAATGAAGAGTCTATTTTCATCCCTCAGCTTGAGGGGGAGTGTAGAAGGAATAGATGTGGGGTCTAGTGGTTAAGTTAAAATATTGTAATTAGGTGAAGTTAGTTGAAAGAGTAGGTTAGTTAATTAGTTGTATAAATAGAAGTTGGTTAACATATGTACATTAGCTTTTCTAGAGTTAGTTGAAAGCATTTTTGTCTAATATAGATAACAAAGCTTCTCCTTCTTCTCACCGACTTCCTTCCTCTTTTGCCTGGATGACTTGTTCAACAAGCACACACTATTACAAACATCATTCGATACTGTAGAATGTTTGGTTGACCTTGAACTAGGGCTGTTCAAATTGAACCATAACCGATAATCGGACCACCAAAGTGATTTATTGGCTTATATCGGATTATCAGATTAGCGGTTGGTAAACGAATTAAAATTTTATAATTAATGATTTATCGATTCAGGGCAGAATACTCAATTTAATAATTGGATAAATCATTAATCCATTACGAATTATTATATTTATATTTTTAGCACTATGTATATAGAGTATCTTTTCCACTATTTGAAACCTTAATGTCTTATTTCACTAAATCTCAGCAGCACTCAGCGACATTCTCCATTTCTCTCAACAATCCTTAGGAAATAACGACACTAATCAAACTTACAAGGAAGCAACTTTTTAGCTGCTTAAGTTTCAACGTCAACATAACTTTTTGGGGCACGACAAGAAAGATCTAGACAGTTCTTGATATCTTTTTGCTCAAATAAATCATTTAACCTGGTAACTGAAGCAAAATTCTATTCAAAATGTATGTTAAGTGAACTTCTATTACTGGATTAAGGATCCTAGTTTGTATTTTAACTTGCTTATTGTAAAACAATTAAAAAAGAAGATACTGTCATTAACAATAAGAGCCTCATTAGCTTACTTGAGTATGATTGTGATTGGATCGTCTATTTATTATTCACTGTCTTGCTTACTTATATAAATTTCATTGTCTATTTGATTTAGCCGATAAACCGTTCGATAATCACTAACCTGACACTAATCCACCCACCGATATCTTATCTGGTGATTAGCGGATTAGTATATTTACAAGCCGATAACCGATAAGTCAAAGCGTTAAGTGTAAATATCCGCCCAATGTACCCGATAAGCAGCCCTACCTCGAACCGGACTCAAGTCGTAAAGGAGACGATAGTTCACGCGCTACAGAGAGAGTAGAGCCCGTGGGATCGTTTAGCGTCTAAGAGCTGTATCTGTGTCAGAGGAACGATTGGTCGCCGCGTCATTAGCTTAATAAAAAGACTTATTATATTCTCTAATAATGTCTCAAAAGAGCGGGCGGGGAAATTATTTACACACACACACACCGCACTTTAGCTATAGCACTGCACTTAAGCCTTATAAGAGTGGACACAGAGAGAGAGAGAGAGAGAGAGTGGAAACGGAGGAGGAGCACTTGTTCACAGCGAAGTGCTACTCCTACGTCGAAAGCTTTTCAACCTTTCCCTTTTTCTTCCTTATTTAAGGTGAACTTTTGAAGTATTATTTCTCTGTTTTCTCTTCAACATTAACATACAGAATTAGTGGAATGAATGTGTGATTTTGATTTTGCTTCTTTCAGCCGGCTCTGTACTCGGATTTTCTCTGACTTTCCAGAAATTTTACAGTATCTGTGAGTTAAAAACTTAAAGCTTTTTCTTATCTTGAATATATCGATTAAGCTTATGTTCATACCATATTCTGCAATTTAAGAAGAAGCTTCTAGTAACTTCATTGTTGTTGACCTCAACCTGTTGTTTTCTTGGAAACTGATTTCTGAGAATATGTTTATGGAGATGTGTTTAGGATGTAATTACTGAGTACTTATTAGTATTGTTAAAGGTATGTTTAATGTTGATAGTGTTTTGGTGGTGGAAGAGTTTTTGGAGTTTGGATACGCATCTCTATACGGATTAGATTTGATGGTCAAATTGGTGGTGAATTTATGTTATTGAATCAGGACCGTTAAAAATTATGTGGTTAAGAAGTCCTGATTGAGACTGATACCCGGAATCTTGCTACTGTCTCAAAGTCTAGGAATCAAATACTTTTAATTTACCTTCCCCCAGATTCTTTCTCACTCAAATCCTTCACTTTCTAACGATTGTCAACATGCCCAGTCTTATTGCAATAAATACAAACAAACACTTTTCTTATTGAGATTATTTTACACGTCTCCTATTGAGTAACTTATCCAAAAAATAGAAAATGAAGTGTAACCAGATTGTTGGAAGACATTTGTTTTTCATTTTAGTTCCTTTATTTCTTTCTTTTCATAATTCAGATGAACTTTCGATAATACTAGCTTAAGAACATTGTATTCTACTATGAGTATTTTACAAGGACCTGGGAGTTAAAGCCCGGGAGCTTGCGCATTTCATCCTTATTCTTGAATCTCTGCTTTGCATTTGATAGATAAGACTTTTCCTCAACAAGTTGGTAATCAGAGCAATGATAGAACTAAAAACTTTGATCTGCATGAAATTTTTTAGGTAAAAGCTAACAAGGAATGCTTTAGATTATGGATTCATGTTACTTTCTCTTTGATCTCAGGATTGCATTTTGATTATTCCTTTCTAGAATCTAGATTCGACTATATTCTACCATCACGTGAAGCATGTCATCAAAATTGAGTGAACGGTATTGGTTCTCTCATCAGTAGTAGTACAACTCTGTGCTTCATCCTCCATCCATATATCTTGCATAATAATCAGAAGCTTTAAATACTTTACGGACAATCTAGCTAGAAAAGTATGTCGGTTTATTGAATTTATATTTCAATGGACTGCTAGTTTCACCCACATACATTTACTTGCGCTTTTATTATGTCATCTTTGGCAGGTAAAATGCCACTTTAATTTTCTATTGCTGTCATCATGGATGCTGTCATCATGGATTAGGCCAGTCAGCTGCTATAGAGCAAATTTAGCTACTTTCTATGTAAAGGAAGAAAGGGAAGTATTTTTATTGACTACAGAAGTGTTGTTCATATGGCAAGAAGATATGGGCCTTATTTCGATCCTGAGTATGAGACCTTAAGTATCAGGATAAATCCTCCAAGGTTGAGCTTCTCTACTTTTAGCTTTTGCCATTTTTGCAACATCCACTGCTTGCCTTCACTATATTTTATTTTACTTTCATTGGCCAGCCTAGATATTACTCGTTGTGGTTTAGGATGTTACTTATACCAGGATATGGAAACCTGTCGGTCTCCTTTGAACCAACTAAAGAAAATCATGGATGTCAACTAAATTGCTTCATATTTAAGACCCTCAGCTGTTTTCATGTGGTTTTACTAATGATTATTTGATGCTATTAGGGTATCTGTGGACAATGCGAGTTGCAAGGATTGCACACTAGTGAAGGTAAACTTTGAGAATCTTTGAGTGATTGAGTCCTTATTTTGTTATTTCAAGGATCCACAACACCTTTGATGAGATGAAGCTCACTTTATCACAGTTCAATAAGCTCTTAATTTTACGAGTATTCTTGTTAGATTAGTGTGTGTCTGGTCATCTGAGCCTGCTATAGTGCATGATCAAAAGTTTACTGAATGAAAGGAGTATATTAAAAAAATTTCTTTCACAAATTTTATTGGTCCAACTTTTTGAACACAATCTGCTGTCGCAAGTAGGAATTACTAATATCTGTGAGCTAGAGCCTGGTGATCTGATAGGCATGATTTGAATCACTAGTCTGAGTCAGATAAGGGGTACCACATTAACTCTATATCATTCAGTTGCTTTTGTCAAAGTAGTTGATACATTTTTGATATGGGTAACATAAAGTACATTATTAATGAACTACCTCCAGCGCCTTCTTAGGTACTGAGGTGTTCAAAAGTACCCACTGAGGTTTTCGTTGTTTTCCTCAGGTTGACAGTGTCAACAAACCTGGAATACTGCTGGAAGTGGTGCAAATCCTAACAGACCTTGATCTTGTAATTACCAAAGCCTACATATCCTCTGATGGCGGGTGGTTCATGGATGGTGAGTATTGTTTCTCATTAGTATTTTCAGGTGTTGAAGCTTTTAGACAAGGCACATCCAAGTAATTTTAGTTGCATATTCAAGAGCTGCTACTGTCAGGGGCGGAGCTATAAGTAAGTGGGTTCAGTTGAATCCCCTTCGTCAAAACAGGGCTAAAATGAATTATTTGGTTATATATGAACTGTTGAATTCCCTTGACATAAGAGAAGATTCTAGTGTAGTGGTAAAGGAGGTTCAAAATTATTTTTGGTCACAGGTTCAAATCCCTAATGTGACATTCTAGTATTTTCTGAACCCCATTGTATAAACTTCTGGCTTTGCCACCGGTAGATATGGATCATGTTCTACACTATTTCTTTTACAAGCTTGGACTGCTATCCAACTAAATACCCAAATTCAAGTTTCTTCCTCCTTGGTGGTTATAGATTTACTAGTATGTGTTAATTGGTGGCCATGTATACCATATTCACTTTCGCCATTTCTTGGCCATTTTACAAAAGTGTCAACCTTATAATCTGTTTCCCCATTAACACTCTTTTCTAGCTCTGTCCCATCCATATAATATACTAGACTTAGGGCACACAGTTGGGAAATTTCTTACAAGTTTTCATTTCATTTTTAACAGTATTTCATGTTACTGATCAACAAGGCAACAAAGTTACAGACAGCAACACTATTGGTCATATAGAAAAGGTAAAGTATCCCTTGTTTTTCTTGCCTTCTGATTTCATATTTTTGTAGCCTCTATACAAGTAATGCGGGGATAAGACAACAATCTTTGACAGATTCTCGTATGATAGTATACAAAAGAAGGGAAAGAGGGATAAATTAAAACGTAGCATCTTCTAGAAATTGCTAAAATATCATGCAACTCCAAGCTAGCCATTGTAGTTGATGTTATGTACTTTGGGTTTATATGCAGGCATTGTCAATGACATTTCTTCTCATGTATTTTTTGCACCTAGCATATATCAGAGTTTTACTTTTGGGACTCTATGACTATTCAGAGCACAGCAAAAGTCAAGCAACTATTCACAAATCCTTGGTGACTAAAAATGTTACAGAATAGCTGCTCATTGTTAGATAAGAGTTCCCAATTCCACAAACTAAATAGTGCTCTACTAATGTGTTTGGGTTTGCCTATTTCTCTTATCTGTTTCAGTCATGAGCTTATTGCTGTCATAATCCTCGCTTTTACTGCAGGTTTTTTCACACAAGTTGTAGTTAGGCTTTCCTGAACTTTGTATGCAAGAGCATATATGTACCTTAGTAGTCAGCCAATAAAATCCTATTTTATCCCCAATAAATGCTTTAGCCCATGTAGGTGTGTCATCCAAGTGACTGAAACTTAAGAAGTAGCTACCCTAAGCAAGAACCTAGTTATATCCAAGTTACTAACGATTTCAATAAATTTCTTACATTAGGCGCTAGGACCTGAAGGTTACACATCAGGCATATTGAAGACTTGTCCCGGTAGAAAGGTAGGAGTGAACTCTGTGGGTGATTACACCACCATTGAGCTTATAGGAAGCGATCGTCCGGGTCTTTTATCAGAAATTTCTGCTGTACTAGCCAATCTTCATTTTAATGTCGCTGCTGCTGAAGTTTGGACCCATAATAGGCGCACAGCATGTGTCCTTTATGTCAATGATAATTGTTCATCACTTGATGTGGATGAAGAATCCAGATTATGTGTCATGGAAGAGCAACTCAATAACATTCTTCGTGGACGGGAGGATGATGAGAGTGGGGCTCATGCTACTTTCACAGTTGGCAGTACTCATGTTGATCGGCGGCTTCATCAGATGTTCTTTGCTGATAGGGACTACGAAGGTGGTTGTCTTGAAATGGAGATAGAATACCCTCCTAACTTCAAACCAGAAGTCAGAATTGAAAGCTGTGTCGAGAAAGGGTACTCAGTGGTCAGTGTCAGTTGCAAGGATAGACCAAAGCTTATGTTTGACATTGTATGCACCCTCACAGACATGCAGTATGCTGTTTTCCATGCCACTATCTCATCTGATGGTCCCTATGCATCACAGGTAATCTCATTATGTTGTTCTGATGATTGCTAGTCTGAAAAAAAACAATTGAAAAAAAAAATGAAAAAAAAATGTCTGCTAAGAGGCATATTCTGTATGAGATAAACTAACATATGGAGGATAAATCATTTTATTTAACAATACTTCTATTTTAAGAACTTATTTCCATTTAACAATGTCAATTCTGGATCCGCCACTATTTAGTTAGTATCTTCTTATTAAATAAAAGTTAAATTGTTATAGAGGGAGCTCCAATTGGTCTCAAATTTTTCAGTGAGAGCAGAAAGATCAGAACCGAAAGTATCAGTGATATGATTGCCTTGCTTGAGTTTCTGAAACTACCTTTACCCCATTAAAACTCCCATTAAACATGTCTACCTTAGAAGTATTTTCATCCTTCATCTATTCGTTTTGGGTTACTGATTAGTGTAATTCTTAATCACACTCCCAAAGGAAATAAAATATATGACCCCCGGCCCACACACACACAAACAAAAGAAAAAAGAAAAAAAAAAGTCTAGTTTAGCTTATGCTTTAATACCTAAAGTTCTTTCCAGTTTCAAAGTGGCTCAACATTGGAATCACTGATGGGAGTGTTATTAGGCTTTAAGTCTAGTAGGCATTATGTAATATCAGGACGACTGAATTTGTAGGAATATTTTATCCGCCACATGGATGGTTGCACTCTGGAATCTGAAGAGGAGAAAAAGGTTGTGAAGTGTCTTGAAGCTGCGATTCGGCGAAGGATAAGTGAGGTAAGGGTGATTATCCACTTCTCTAAATTATTGTCTTAAATGCTTCTCAAGATTATGATTAGCCTCGGTGCTGAGCCAAGCGGGCTTCTTTCATCAAGCCCCCCAGCCCCACCCCCATTCTGAATACTTTTTATCAAATAGACAAAGGTCTCTAACTTAAAGTAACTCATAGTTAAGGTTTCACTTTAAGAAAGAATCGAGGGCTAGTCTATATGTCAACTTTCATTCTGTATAAGTCCGTAATTGCCTGGAATAAATGAATCGGAAGAATAATGCAAATCTGATTTTTCTTTTCTAAGCTTAGCTAGGTCCACGCCTTGTGCAATCTTTTAGTTTGAAATTGGGATGAATGGGAAAGTTTGGCGGCAAGAGTGGTCCTCTAACATTATACTTTGGAAAATTAGGCATGGCTAATATTCTACTTCCTACTCGTACCTTTTTCATCAAATATTATCAGATTTTCAAGCATTCACATGTTAGTTCAATTAATAACATTATGGCATGCACGAACCTTCAACCTCAAATTCTTAATGCCACCAGGCCTTGATTCCTTTGATATGCAGGGTTTTAGTCTAGAGTTATGTGCCAAGGACCGAGTTGGCTTACTTTCTGAAGTTACGAGAGTCCTACGAGAAAATGGGCTATCAGTGACTAGAGCTGGAGTCACAACTATCGGGGAGAAAGCAAAGAATGTCTTCTACGTACGAGACGCATCTGGAAACCCTGTAGAGATGAAGACAATTGAAAGACTACGTGAAGAAATTGGACAGACAATGATGCTTAATGTGAAGAAAGTCCCAACATCTGCAAAGGTAGCTGAAACTGGTGGTTTGGCTAAGACAAGCTTTTTCTTCGGAGGCTTACTGGAAAGATTCCGTACTTAGAAATTCATCTACAAAGAGATACCTACTTGTATAGAAGAATAAAGCACTTGAGTGAAGTGTATAAATGTGGTAAGGTATCCCTGTTAAAATGCATGTAGATACATTGAGAATTTACCTTGTCAAGATAAACAAAGGGAAAAAGGAATGGGTCTCTCCCAGTCTTACTCTATGCAGAACTCTGGAAGATTATCAGATGACTGTGTGTTGTTCCTGCCAAATAAAAGTACGAAAATCTATTGCTGTCATATGACTTTGGGTTGGAGCTTTAGCCAAGAAATGCTATTGAAGATTGAACAAAGAAGCCAATCGGTTATAGTTTAATTGACGTCTATGTTGTGTCCAAGCTAAGGTTAGAGACAAAGAGCTGTTAACATTGTTTTGATTAGCCTTTTGGTCCTTCACTTGTATTCTAGCCGGTTGACTATGTTACAAGAGTCAAATCGTTTTCTTTCGGGGAACAATATGTAATATCCTGACCAGAACATACCGTAGATATCATCAATTAGCGTGTAATTGGAAATAGTGTCACAATAAATATGCTCTTTTGATACTGGATTGTCTCACTTAAAATATTCCTGGATATTTTACTTTCTTCGACTTCATAGAAACTGGGATATAAAAATTAGTCCACAAAATACTCACTGTTAAATTATAGAAATAGTTAACAAAATAACAATAGTATAACAATATATTTGGTGTATTTTTACAAGTGGGGTCTGAGAGGGTAGTATGTATGCCGACGTTACCCTTACTTTGTGAAGGTAGAAAGACTTTTTCCGGTAGACCCTTGGCTCAATAAAAGCAAAATCATAGCACTTATGACAAAGAACTACGAAAAAAATAGTAATAGTAGCCAGAAAAAAAATAAAATCGAAGCAAAGGAAACATCAGGTACTAACAACGATCTAAAAATAGGGAATACGAGGATAACACTAGTACTACATTTATAAAAAAAGTACCGACTACTTACTAAAATCTACTACCCTAATCCTCGACCTCCACACCCTGCTATTAAGGGTCATGTCCTCCGTAAATTGAAGATGTGACATCTCCTATCTGATCATCTCTCTCAATACTTCTTCGGCCTACCTCTACCTCTCCTAGGACCCGCTATAGCCAACCTCTCACACCTCCTTACTGGGGCATCTGTGCCTCTCCTCTTTACGTGCCCGAACTATCTCAGTCTCGCTTCCCGCATCTTGTCCACCACACATGTCACTCCCACTTTATCCCAAATATCTTCATTCTTAATCTTATATATCTCTCTTAGGATGCCCACACATCCATCTCAACATCTTCATTTCCGCAACTTTTAACTTCTGAACATGAGAGGTCTTGACCGGCCAAATCTCCGCTCCATACAACATGATCGGTCTAACCACTACTCTGTAAAACTTGCCTTTAAGTCTTGGTGGCACATTCTTGTCGCATAAGACATTAGATGTGAGCCTCCACTTCATCTGCCCCTCTCCAATACGATGTGTGACATCCTTGTCAATCTCTCCATTACTTTTTTGGATTATAGACCCAAGATACTTAAAACTTCATCTCTTGAGTATGACTTGTGTCCAACTTCACTTCAATGTCAGCCTTCCCGACTCACGTCAGTATTTTGTTTTAGTCCTGCTCAACTTGAAACCAATAATAACAATAATAATATTACTAGTTTCTCGACACGTGCGTTGCACGTGTATGTCGAGTTTAATAGTATATGATATTGTAAATAATATCGAAATTACTAAAACACAAGTTTGAATATATAATATTATACATGAAAAAATAAAGTACAAATTTATGTATGATCAAAATGGATTGTTATACGGTCTTATTCGTCGTGGTCAAAATGATTGGATATCGTCTCAACTTATAAAGATGAACAATCAAAATTTAAGTCGGGAGAGAGAGAGCAAAAGGGAAAAGGTCCAGATATATCCTTGTACTTTATAAATAGTTTATATTTATCCCGGTTATAATTTTCGTCTAAATTTATCCCTACTGTTAAAAAAGTAAACAAATTTGTCCCTATCCTTAACGATTATCCACAGTGGCACCTGACACCTCAACTAAAATGCCATGTAAGAGTCCATGTCACCATTTTTAATAAGATTTTATTTATTGCACTTCTTTATTACTTCAGAAAGTTAAAAATAATCCCAAAAACGGTTGCTTCTTCTTCCTCAACGAGTTCTTCGTTTTGGCTTCAATTTTTTGTATCCAAACAAAGACATTCACCAAATGGACAGATGGTAACCACAACTTTTAACATCAATGTCCCTACAAACCCCAACCAATACTTTAGCTTAAACTTCAGCGAATCAAAGTACTTAAATCTTATGTTCTCGATCTCTCTTATAAACCCTTCAATGGCGATTTTTCAATTTTCTGAACACTAGTGTTATTATTCCTGTTTTAAGCTCCAATATTTGGTTTTGCACTCCATTTCAGTAGGAATCAAGCAAGTAATTTTAGGTTCTTGAGTCCTTTTCGAGCTTTGAATTTCGACGACCTAAAAAATATAGTACAAGTTTGTTTTTCACCCAAATATACTAAATCTGCGTTTGATTCATGATTTTAACCTCAAAATGGCAACACCCCACTGATTTTCTCTATGTATAATCAACAGATCAAATGGGGTTTCAAAAAAATTCGGCACCAAAAGAACGTAGTGGGTTTCGAAAATTTCATCGCAGATTATTCAAATAAGAAAAAGAATTTGATTTTTAGCTCTAATAGTAACTCCAAACAAGTTTTTTTGAAGGAGAGAAAAATTGAGACACCACTATCATTGCAATCTTTGAAGTTTAGTATGAAAATTAAATTGTGAAATTTAGGAATTGTGGTGTTTTGAAGTTTGAAAACTGATTGACAATCATTCATTGAGCTTGAAACAGAAAAATAGCTATTGGTTTTGGAGTTTGGCTGGTTATATTTCAAGAATATCATTGTTGACATGTTGAAGGGCTTGAATAGAGAAGAAGATTAATTTTATTTTGGTGAAGTGATGTCTGCAATGGAAAGGTAAAGGAGAAATAATGGGGGGAAAATAAAAAAAAAATGTTGGGGGGGGGGGGGTGGGGGGGGGCGGAAGGTAGGGAAATAATTGTACGGGGAAATGAAAATTTTCTGGTCAAATAATCAAATGAAAAAGAAATAAACAGTAGACTGAATAGATTTTAGAAGAAATTATAAAAAATGGTGATATGAACTCTTATGTGGCATTTTAATTGAGGTGTCGGGTGCAACCGTGGATAACCGTCAGGGTTGGGGTAAACTTGTTTACTTCTTTAATGGTAAGGATATATTTAGACGGAAAGTATTACGGAGGATAAATGTAAACTATTTACAATAGTACAAGAATAAATCTGAACCTTTTCCCTTTATTTTTTGATTTTCCATTATGTAAATATTGTGTTGGACGTGCAATGCACGTGCATAAGAACTAGAGTAGTATTATCTAATTGGTTTACTTGAAAACATTAGAAAAGATATTCTATAATATTAATGTTAGAATACTTAATAGGCAAAATGGCTTCCAGGCCATCTAAACTTGCATCCATTTTCCATTTCGATATATAAACTTAGAATTTTCCCATTTTAGCACTCTTATTTGATTAAATGAATATTATAAACCATTTTGATCGTTGACCATGCCTATGTGGAGGAGGTGTAGCTGACATGGCAACAATGCATGCACATCACTGCTATAAGGCGCGTAAATATAATTTTTTTGATCTTTTAGTTGATAAAAGAACAAAAGGACAAAGAGGGGGGGGGGGTAGGGGGGGGGGTTTCCAAACCCCTCCTTTCTTCTGTCACCCTTCCCTCTTCTCTTTCTTCCTTCCTTCTGTGCCTTCAATCCCACTAACTCCATCTTCTCCAATCTCTCACTCCGTTGCTCCCTTCTCCTCCTCTCCTCCAAATCCTCTTACCCCACTGATTCACATATTTCCATGAAAAAATGCAAAACCCTAACGATGGAGCAATAGTAGCTGAAATAAACCTCAACCGCACATCAAATTCAAAGCCAAAAGTTGTAGTAATAATGGGAGCAATAGGTTATGAAATTCTTTACTTTATTCCAGAAGGTGTAATTTTCATACTCAAAAGCAGAGTTTAGTAAAAACACATCTTCAACATTCTTATACCCAATGACCCACTAATAAATTTACAAGAAATTCAAGAGTTCGAAGCCATTAGAGCCATGGACGATAGTTATTCTTCGTTGCTTCTTTTCATTCTTTCCTTATTCGTCTCTTCTTGGTCTATTATAGATAACTGAAGAACATTAGTTCTCACCTGTGATGGAGTTTGGCAAGCTATGGTGAGAAAAGAGAAAGAAATAAAAAGTAGGACTTAGAAAATTAGAGGGGGCAGGCGCCCCTGACGTGTAGCAATTTTAGTGGTCTTTTGCTAATTAGATGCCCACGTCTGCATATTTGTAATACACGCGCTATGGTCGGATGGACGGAAAGGTTTAATATTGTGCAAATGTATGAGTTGAAGTGTTTAAATGGAAAAGTTTTAAGTTTATATACTGGTATGACAAACATGTACAAGTTTAGGTAGCTCGGAGGCTGTTTAACCAAAAATTGAGTAATTCGGTCAAAGCTAATTTTAAGAAGTACTCGGGCTACTGATAATCAAGAAATTCTATATTTACTTAATGACAAGAAAGGATAAAGTATGAAGTAGCGAGAATAGCCAATGGTAAGCAAAAGAAAGTAATTGTTTTGCAATAGTAACCAAAACGTGTCTGTACAAATGATATTTCTTTCCCTTTTATAGGAATCTAAAAGTACAATGTTTTTCCCCTTTTATGACCGAATCATTACGAGCATTAATGACATTAATGAGATGTTATAATTGGTAATCATAACTGTTTGTGAAGATTCTGTAACATCCGAGCTCATTCATACACACTAATTGATGATTCATGAATCTTTCCTTTTTAATGTCTTGATTCATTCTGTCAGTACCTCTTCAGGTAATGACTTTGTCTTCTCTTCTCGTGGGTGTTTTGATCGTATTTATTACGATTCGTGCCTCTTTTAATGCATCTTTCTAGCTGTCGCTTTCTTACTGATACACGTGTTTTGTCATATCAACCATTCACATAAATCCACGTGTAATATTTATTTTTACTAATACAGATAGTCCCCCCACTTGTCGAATATTC